TGGACAGGGACCTGGACACCCAGGACAGGAGGGTGATGGGTTACTCCTGCTTGTACCTAGGGTGCAAGCGGGGCGTGTGTTTTTCGGGTACCTAGCTTGGGGCATTGATTCACGAATCGTCAGGCGATCTGGTACGGCTTGTTTCGTGTCTAGCACTGTAGTAAGAACTGGAAGATGAAAGGTGATGAAATAGAACTGATTGCTCAACTCTTGTTTGAAAATAGAACAGATGCTTATATAGACTAGATAGATAATAACTTAATACGGCTGATAATAATAACATAAATAAGAACTCACTATTAGTATTGCTTTCTGCTAAAAGAAATCAGCAAACCATAAAGCTTATCATATTCCTTGGAGTCGGGAAATTATTCTCACTAGTCGGATAAGTCTTGCGAGTACATTGTGTATTCAGGGTTTATTTACCCCTGTTGCAGGTAATGTATGAGAAGTACCTTTGTGTGGAGGATTCTTCTGGTGGGCTCAGACGGATCCTCGTTCTTATCGCTAGATGTTTATTTTAAATTCTGCTGTTTATCATTCCACACTCTGACATTTGGTAATGTAATAATGTAATTTTTAAGAAACTCTGATGTATGAAATGGACAAGTATTGTAACTCGTTCTCATTATTGGATCCTTGGGAAAAATGTGGATCTTTCGGGATCTTCCTTGGGGTGTGCCCGACGGATACCGCCCGCTGTAGGTTGCTTTCGGGGTGTTTAGTGTCTGGCGGAAGACGAGCACCTCCGTAAGCGTGTTATTTCGAGCGGTTCTGCCACAACCACCGCCTTCGTAAATCCATTTTCGAAGGCGGACATTTTCCAACCGCCTCGGTAAATAAAATGACCGCCTCCATTAATCACCAGGCATTAACCGTGGCAGTTGGATTTTGTAAATGCCTTAGTTAATAAAGGGCACCGCCTCACAAAATCATTTTGTGTCATAGTGTTTGCATCTAATATTTTAGAATTCTACAAAGAGTGGATGGACCCGTGGGGCATGCTAGCGTGGTTGGGTGGAATGGATGCAAGTCTTGACATCGATTCACCGAGGAGTGACCATCGTTCACTTACGTGATGTACTTGTGCCTAGATTGATGTTGTTGAACTAAGAGAAGGGGAGGTGTCACCTTCTGTCGCTGCTTTTGCGCCCTATTGGAGTGCGGCATTGACCCATCACTGACTCAGGAGTGTCGGCTGGTGGCTCATACTCGTGAGAGGGGGATGGGTGTAGAGGAGTGTGTTAGGGTTTTGTAGTAAGATATATTATTTGGACTCTTGGGCTAACCTAAGGTTGGTTAGCTATTAGGCTACACACATACAAGTTAATAAGTTTATATGGCTGTTTCTATACTTTATTTTTCCAGTAACTAAGAGTTAAAACCAAACCAACCATACTAAATTTGGATACTTAGAAGTAGGAACCGAATTGTTGATTCAAAAATTTATACCCACCCCTATCCTACGTTATAAGCGAACTTCTGTTGTTCCTAACTTTCTACTAAACTATTGTCGGTGTTTTTGGACCACCGATGAGTAAAATTGTATTTGCGCGTCTAGTTCTGATGGTGTGCTTAGAGGACACGAGGTTTATACTGGTTCAGATAGAAAGTCTCTAATCCAGTTCGTCGCTGTTGCTCGTGTTACTAGCACTGAAAGTTTATAGTAGGGGTTACAAATGAGCGAGAGAGGGACAGGTCCCAAGTCTCTAATATGCATGTGCTCCTAAGGTGTGTTAGGGCATGTGTTTTGATGTCTACAGCCGTGTAGAGTGGTGAACCACCCTCCCCTCTCCTAGGGTGATCCTGCTTCCCCTTTTATAGACGAAGGGGAAGAGTAGGTTAACACAGAGAGAAAGAGAGAGAAGAGCCAAGGAGGGGAAGGCTTTTAGGACCGTCGGACCTTTCTTCTCCTTTATGCGGGTCTCGCCGACACTGCAGATGGTGATAGGGATGACTCCACGTCGGGCGCCTATTCGTCGCTGATGTCAGTGGGTCGTGACGTCCCATTCCGTCCCGGCGGGCGACGCGGCGAACCAGCGTGTTGGTCAGCGGCCGTACAGGGAGTAGGCAGCATAGTGACCACGCGTCCGTCACTGTTGGTGATGTGAGTCCCCTGGAGTGACATGTCGTGGGCACGGGTCATGTTGAGATGTGCTCGTTCCCTGGACGATGCCAAAAGTTTGACCTTGTGTTGTACTTTCTGGCCCGTAGTGGTTGGCGGCGGTACGGGCTTCCGTCAGGAGCCTCGCCTGAGGGGTCAAGCGAGATGGAGCCCCCGACCCAAAGGCCGGGCGAGGCGGAGCCCCCGACCCAGAGGTCGGGCGAGGCGAGGCCCCTGACCCAGAGGTCGGGCGAGGTGTAGCCCGTCCCTAGAGGTCGGGCGAGGCAGAGCCCGCGCACCTAGGGGTCAGTTAGAGCTGTAGTCGCGCTCTTGACTGCTCAGATGAATCAACATTGATGACCATTAGCTCCTTCTCTTCGGGTACCCTAGTATTGGTCCCCGACAACTATATTCTAACTTCATGTGAGCTTTTAGATCGGAACAACTAAACGATTCTATTTACATAACCAAAGAATTCTTATTTCCATGTAACTAATATTTTGAAAGCAGCATAATAGTTATATAGCTATCATCTTTCATTCACTTTCAACGTACATGCCACATAATAGTTTGAATCTTTTTTTATAAAAAAAGAGAGAATAAATAGTCTACACTAAATATTATAATTTGAACTTCAACATTGTCCAAACTTATTTATAAAGTAGCCTCACAAGAAAAAAAACATAGCATAGACTAAAAGATGTTCCAAGTTCATAATGAAATTGTTCCAGCTTTTTTAGAAAGTTGTTTCCTGGAACCACGATCGGTTTTAAATCTCTAGCTATAGCGGTAGATATGTCAAGCTATTTATGTCTACATATAATTTAACAGCTATAGCACTTTATAGTCAAGCTTGACTAAATTTACATAAAAATAGTAATATTTATCGAACTAAATACAAATCATTCGTCACGAAACATGTATTTATAATATACTTATTTAGTGTCATAAATATTAATGTATTTACCTATATATTTGGTCAAACTTTAGACACTTTATAACCAAGAAAGAAATGCACCTAGAATTGCAATATTTTTTTTGGGTGTGGGGTGGGGCAGGGGACAGAGCCACAGAGGTAGTTTTTTTTAGTATAGAAAAAGGAAAGACTAGCACCCGGATGTCCGGACACTGTGTCCGTCTGGGCGCCCGCACATACTGCTCGCCCACGCGCCTGACACGCTCTCTCTGCATACGGCAGGAAAACATCGCATGCACTTCCTTGGATCATGCGACCAATGGAAGGATATGTGCACCTCGCCTCCGCCTCTCACTTTGCCTAGGCGGGCCCCACAACGCGTGAATGAAGCTCCTGCTCACCCATTGGCACGCTGTTGCCGCACTTGTCCACGCGGTGCGGCTGCCGTGGCTGCCGACCTGGCCTCGCCTACTGTTGTGGTATGCATGCGCTTGCGCGTGCATGTGGATGTCGTCGCGCCCGCTTCGCTTCCGGCACGCACGATGGGACCACCTCCGTCTGCGCCTAGTTGCCGCGCCTGGTCATGCAACACTTGCAACATAAAGCATTTGCTGCAACATACGTCCAAAACAAATGAAATATTTACAAACATACGTTTGCAACATATGTGTATGCCCACTACAACATATGCAACATCCAGATAAAACACTAGCAACATACGTTTGAAACATTTCAAACATACACTTGCAACATACGTGTATAGCCAGTGCAACATATGCAACATCTAGATAAAACACCTACAACATACGTTTGAAACAGCTGAAACATTCGAAACATACACTTGCAACATATGTGTATAGCCATTGCAACATATGTAACATCCAGATAAAACACTTGCAACATACGTTTAAAACAGCTAAAACATTTTAAAACATGTACTTGCAACATAACTGTATTGCCATTGCAACATATACCACATCCAGATGAAACACATACAACATTCAGATGAAACATATATCTGAAACGCATGAAACATACGAAGCTAGATGCCATGAAGTGATAGAAAAATTTGAGCCAGCATTAAGCTGCCATGCAGATGTGGCCCCGTGCTCCTCTCACAAACAGGCAAGCGTCCTGGCCGACCCAGCAACTGGCTAAGCGCCTAAGCCGGTCGGCCAAAGCAGCAACACGGCAGACAGCATGCAGCAAGACAGCTTGGCCTCGGCGCAGACATCCCACAGAGAGAAAAGAGCAGCATGGCAAGCAGCAGAAGGCGTAGGCACTAGGCAACAGAGGGCAGGCACGGCAGGGAGGCCTGCAGCCCTGGGCGCAGACAACCCATAGAGAGAAAAGAGCAGCATGGCAAGCAGCAACAGTAGGCGTAGGTGCTAGGTAACAGAGGGCAGGCACGGCAAGGAGGCCTGAGGCCCTGGGCGCATGCTGCTAGGGCCCTAGGCGGCTGGTCCAACTAGCAGCGGATGCAAAAGACAGCCAGTCCTCTGTCTGTGGTCACGCGCATACGTAGACCCCCACGTGTCGTATGCACCCGGAACGAGCTCCTTGGATGCGGACCCGCACGTGGGGTCGGTCTGTCCGTCAGTCCGGACACCCTCGACCGAGCGTTATAAAATAAGATTTGTAAAACTAAAATGACAGAACAAAGCACAAAGGCTCCGTTCGCTTCGCTGAAAAAATAAGCTGGAACACTGTTCCAACTAATTTGTTCTGAAAGAAAAATACTGTTCTAAAAAAAAAAAAAAACGGGTTGAAAGGTACATATTATAAGAGAAGCCGACGGCACCAAAGGAGCTGGTCAGGCATCGATCTCTGATCTAACGGCGCTCCAGCGTGCCTTTGGGATGACTAGCGGACTCGCCGTCTCGTCAGTAGTCACAACTCACGAAACTCACGAACCGCACGCCGCCCGGAACGGATCCACGCCCTCTCCCCGCCGCCGGTTCATCCTCCTCCACCTCCTAGATGGCGGCGGCGGCGCCAGAGAAGAGGCTCCCTCGCTCCCTCTTTGAACTCGCCTCTGACTTTTTCGATTCATCCGTCCTCCTTCGGGCTCACCCCTCCACGCCCCCCTCTGCGGTGGAACCGTCCGAACCCTCCCGGCCACCGCCGCCGCCGACGACTCAGCAGCAGCAGCAGCAGCAGCAGCAACTTTCAGAGGCTTCGGGATCCAGGTGGACGTGCAACACCTGTGCCGCGGAGTTCGACTCGCTACAGGAGCAGCGCGAGCACTTCAAGTCCGACCTGCACCGCCTGAACGTATCTATCTGTGCCCTTTCTCTTCACTTGACTACTTCTGATTGATTTTTTGAATGCATGTACTTTACGGTATTGATACGGTTTAAGGGCTGCGCTTAACATTTTCTTTAGCAGTCTGTGCTGATCATAGCTGGAATTATTTAGTTGAAGATACAATGCTCAATTATCAAATGTTTGCATGTAGGTAGAATAGTTGAGTCCCTTGATTACTTATTGGAGAATGGAGAGAGACAATTTATGGGGGCTTATGACTAATCGAGTCTCTTAACTTGATCACATCATATAGATACGCCATGGAAGAGCTTAATCATGTCCCAAAAACTGAACATAACTCGTTGCCATTGTACTGAAGCTCCTAAACCATACATTCAAGCACCAGAAACTCTGGGAGTGTCAGATTAGAGATTAGAATTGTTGCATTGGACTGTACGGTGCTGCTGGAAGATTACATGCATTTTTTTTCTAGTTGCCAGTTTTTACAACAACAACAACAACAACAAAGCCTTAAAGTACAACAACAACAACAAGAAGAAGGCCTTAAAGTCCCAAACAAGTTGGGGTAAGCCAGTTTTTACATACTTAGAAAATAACCAGTTATATTCTTGCATAGAGCTTTGGGTGAAAATGAGTAACTGTCCTCTTGTTTTATTTCCATATGGTCCAATTTGGTTCTCTGCAAAATATCGTTCATAATGTACCAAATATATCATACTTATGTCTCATCTCATTGATCCTCTTGCATCTCTTTTTGGCATTCTATTAGGTTAAGTTGAGTATTTCTGGTAAAACTATTATAAAGGAAGAGGACCTAGACAAAGCAGATTCTGATTCTCTGTTTGATGATTTGGAGATATCTAGTGTCTCTGGTTCAGAGGACGAACAAGAAAATGGACCTGCATCAGAACGTGTACTCTCAGTTAGAGGCAAGGAAGAATTCAGGAGGAAACTTTACTTTCGCTGTGCATCGGGTGACACGATTTCTATCTATAGATGCATGCTGTTGAAAGAACATGAAGAACCATTAATTGATTGTAAGTCTGGTCAGATGGAGAATGCATCTTGTGTACAGGAGGAGGAGATGATAAATAGGGTGAAGCGTTTGACTTGTGAACCTCGTGATGCATCACATTTGAGAATTGTTCTACTAACAAGCGGTGGACATTTTGCTGGATGTGTTTTTGATGGAAATTCCATTGTAGCTCATAAAACATTTCATAGGTAACGACACTGCCAGTTTCAACTTTTATGCATAAGAACTTGTGAGACATATTGCATTATTTCTTGATAACCTTGGAATCTCAGGTGACAGCAGCGTTCTATTATGTGCTAGCAGTACACAACCAGTAAAAATGAGTCTTTTGAGTGCTGCAGAAAGCTTCTACTTTCCTGTGTTCAATGTAAATATAGCTGTGAATCTTGCTATCAACAGAAATGACTTCCTACTTCCTCTTTGTGTTCCGTAACATATTTCCTTTGCTGATGGGCATAATTTTAACTTTGCGGCTGGCTAGATTGACTGCTTTGTTGCCTGTACCTTTTACTGGCAATACTTTGTTTTCTCCATGTTAGTGACAAATTGTTCTTATTTGCCCATGTATTTCTTTAGGTATGTTGTAAGAGCAAAGGCTGGGAAGAGGCAATCTGGAAAAGATGCTACTGGAAAAGTTGCACACTCAGCAGGCTCTTCTCTACGGCGCTATAATGAAGCAGCACTGAAAAAGGTGTTGGATTTGGTGCTTGTTGACTTTTATGTGCTCATTAAAAGTAAATGTCCCATTGGCTTATTTTTTTTAGGTGTCTTTCGTTTTTGTTTGTCTTATTGCAGGAAGTTCAAGAATTAATTGTTTCATGGAAGTCATACTTTGAGACATGTGTTTGTGCCTTCATTTATGCTCCATCGAAGAACCGCCAGATGCTCTTCGATGGGGAGAAGACTCAGTCAGTAATTCAGTCTTGTGATATTCGTCCAGTTCCATTGACTGTCCATCGTCCCACCTTGAAGGAAGCTAAGCGGGTATATTGTAACCTAACACAACTCTACTATGAGATGGAATGTTCAGCCACAGATGAACCCTTACCTGATGCTGGAAGTATGAAAAATGTTGAAGAAAGTCAAGGAAAAAAGAAGGATGTGGCGGCAGACCCTGAGGAATCTATTTCTGACTTGTCTGCGAGTTTGGAATTGTTAAATAAGAATGAAGCAGCAACCATACCATCATTTAAGAATGAAGCAACACCTCTTCATGAGGCAGCAAAGTGTGGCAATGCTCAGCTGACCCTGGAGTTACTTGAGCAGGGTTTGGATCCTTGCATAAAAGATGCAAGAGGAAAGACACCTTATTCGCTGGCTTCAGATAAGGAAGTTAGAAATACATTCAGAAGATTTATGGCGCTGAACCTTGACAAGTGGGATTGGCATGCCGCAGATGTCCCTAGTGCACTAACAAAAGAAATGGAAGAATCACAAGCTGCGAAACAAGTGAGTTTTTTTGTGCCCTTGTTTCATGAATTTATAAGTTTTCCATTGTAAAATTCATCATTAAGTAAATGCACCGAACATGGTTGTGCATGTTACTATAGGCAGACAAGGATGCCAAAAAGAAAGCACGTGCAAAGGAATTGAAGAAATTAAAAAAAGCAAGAGAAAAGGAAGAGAAGGAGAAGGAGAAGGCTAAGGTTAGTACTGAATTCAGAATTACAAGTGCATCTGGTTGTATAAATCTTTTTTTTAACATAACATCTGGTTGTATAAATCCAATTTATATATCCTTGTTGCTCATGAATGATGTACATAGTTTAATGGTGTTTAGTGTCAATGGTCGCCCCAAAAATGTGGTGCTTAGTTCACTAATCCGTATTTCATTATTTATTGATTAGCAAAGTGCAAGCATTACTGCTTACTAGTTATTAAATTTCCTTTCAATGACTTCTATTTACCTTCGTATTTATGCTATTTTGTACTATTGAACTGTAGGCTCAAGCATCACAATCACAAAGTGATGTTAAAGGCACTTCAAGCGGCCAAATGGCCAACAGAACTGCAGCATCTTTGCCAGGCCTTAAACCAAAGCATCAGACGCCACAGCAGATACTTATAGCAAAGGAGGTATATGTTCTAAAGAGGAACGATTTCACGCCTGGCAAATTGCTGAGTGGTAGTTTCGAACTACACACATGTCACGTGATTATAAATTTATTCGCTGAACTTTTTAATCAGGAGGAACGACAGAGAAAACAAGCTGAAGAAAGAGAGAAGAGAGCAGCTGCAGCAGAGAGAAGACTTGCAGCTCTCGCTGCTCAATCTGCCGGAGCCAGCGCGTCAGGTGCGGCAGCAACAAACTGCTCCGCTCAGAGGGCAGTACCAGATGACAATTCGTGTTCGTGCTGTTTCGCTTCCTTGACGGGCAAGGTGCCATTCCACCGATACAACTACAAATACTGCAGCACTACATGTATGCATCTTCATTCAGAAATGCTGCAAGATGATTAAGAAAACCGCATGACGTGATTCATGATTTTGATGCTATTTTACCTCATAATCAATAACAGGCCTTGACGTGATTCTTGATTTTGATGCTATTTTACCCCATAATCAATAACAGGCCTTCTTCCTTCCGTTATGCCTGTTTTTCTTAATTTTGTCGTGTGCATCTTCTGAACTTCAAAGGTTCGAGAACACATACATTTTTATTCGTGTTAATGCTTTTGCTTCATATTGGAACACATTCTATTGAGCCAAGCGGAATCGCTATTCCACGTACATCTGGATTGCTGAGTTGTCCTACTAGCCTCCCTTTGCTGCCTCTGACTTTGCGTACATGTGGCTGGAATCCACCAAGGACGCTTGCATGGCAAACTGGCAACACGCCCGTGAGCCTTTTGCTGCTGAATGCCAACCTCCGGTAGTCAGCAGGAGGCCATCGGCTCTTCTCGAATCTCGACCTCTTAATGCATACAGTATATCACGGTAACATTTATCATGGGGGCATGCATGAAGCTCAACTTTCTGAAGATCTCACGACCTGCGTGGTGGGAGCAGATCACAGCCAATGGATTTGACATCTCGTGACCTGGCCATTGGCTTCTTCCTTTGGAGCAAAAAGGCATGGCCAGCAGCGATACATCTCCTCCCCATCGACCAACCACTTGGACAGCAATGGCCTCCCCTCGCCCTGGCCTTCACCACGTATGCACGCGGTGGCGTCGGCCGGTGCACGTGAAAGCACCAGTCATGTTGACATACTGCCCGCGGCCGAGCATATATTGGCGCCGCCGCACATAACATAAACTCGATCGGCGCTTGTGCTCGCACCTTGATCATCACTTAGCTGCAGAAATGGCAGCCGATCCTTCGTCCTCTTCCACGGGCCAGCAAACGGCGGACATCCGCGCGGCCCCGCCCGAGGACTCGAGGCAGATGGCAATGAGCGGGCCGCTCAACGTCCGGGGCGACCGGAGGCCGCCGCCGATGCAGAGGGCCTTCAGCCGGCAGGTGTCGCTCGGCAGCGGCGTGACGGTGCTGGACATGGACAGAGGGGGGAGGAACGGTGGCGGAAGGGGCCAGCGCGCCCTCCCCCGCAGTGGTAGGAGCCTCGGGGTGCTCAACCACAGCGGCGTCCTGGGCCAGGCCAGCGGCGACGGCGCCGCGCGCAGGGGTGGTGACTTCAGCATGTTCCGGACAAAGTCGACGCTGAGCAAGCAGAACTCGCTGCTGCCGACGAGGATCAGGGAGTCCGACCTCGACCTGCCGACGCACGTCGAGGACCAGCAGTCCGCCGGCAGGCCGGCGGAGGACCCGCTCAACAAGAGCGTCCCCGCCGGCCGCTACTTCGCCGCGCTCCGCGGCCCTGAGCTCGACGAAGTCCGCGTAAGTAGTCTCTTCGTTCTTGGCATACTCGTGTCACGATGTACCCTGTATGCATGCACGTCTCACTGACACTTGAATGAAACGTGGACATGGTTTCTCTAGGACTACGAGGACATCCTGTTGCCCAAGGACGAGGTGTGGCCGTTCCTGCTGCGGTTCCCGATCGGCTGCTTCGGTGTGTGCCTGGGCCTCGGCAGCCAGGCCATCCTGTGGGGCGCGCTGGCGGCGAGCCCGGCGATGCGCTTCCTGCACGTCACGCCCATGATCAACGTCGCGCTGTGGCTGCTGGCGGTCGCCGTGCTCGTGGCGACGTCCGTCACCTACGTGCTCAAGTGCGTCTTCTACTTCGAGGCCATCCGCCGCGAGTACTTCCACCCGGTCCGCGTCAACTTCTTCTTCGCGCCGTGGATCGCGGCCATGTTCGTCACCATCGGCCTGCCCCGCGCCTACGCGCCCGAGCGGCCGCACCCGGCCGTGTGGTGCGCCTTCGTCCTGCCGCTCTTCGCGCTGGAGCTCAAGATATACGGGCAGTGGCTGTCCGGCGGCAAGCGGCGGCTGTGCAAGGTGGCCAACCCGTCGTCCCACCTCTCGGTGGTGGGCAACTTCGTCGGGGCCATACTGGCGGCGAGGGTCGGGTGGGCGGAGGCCGGCAAGCTCCTGTGGGCCATCGGGGTCGCGCACTACATCGTCGTGTTCGTCACGCTGTACCAGCGGCTGCCCACCAACGAGGCGCTGCCCAAGGAGCTGCACCCGGTGTACTCCATGTTCATCGCCACGCCATCGGCCGCCAGCCTCGCCTGGGCCGCGATCTACGGCAGCTTCGACGCCGTGGCACGCACCTTCTTCTTCATGGCCATCTTCCTGTACCTGTCCCTCGTCGTGCGCATCAACTTCTTCCGGGGGTTCCGGTAAGTAGTCCTAGCTATTCCCCCGTTCGACTTCTCGATCGTCGGCGCGGCCGACCAAACTGACCGCTACCTGTGTGGGCGCGTACGTGTCACCGCACGCAGGTTCTCTCTCGCGTGGTGGTCGTACACGTTCCCCATGACCACGGCGTCGCTAGCCACCGTCAAGTACGCCGAGGCTGTGCCGTGCTTCGGGAGCAGGGCCCTGGCGCTGAGCCTCTCCCTCATGTCGTCGACCATGGTGTCGCTGCTGCTCGTGTCGACGCTCCTGCACGCGCTCGTCTGGCGATCGCTCTTTCCCAACGACCTGGCCATCGCCATCACCAAGGACCGGCAGAACGGCGCGGTGAAGCCGAATGGCAGGGGGAAGAGGGCCAGCAAGAGGGTGCACGACATCAAGCGATGGGCCAAGCAGGCGCCCCTGTCCCTCGTGTCCTCCATCACCAAGAGCCACTCGGCGGACAAGGAGGAAGAGGAGAGAACAGACTAGGAATGGTTAAACGACGCTCCATACCAGGACTTTGCGTCATATAGACGGATTAGGATATTATTACTGTATACACTAGCCAGAAGAAATGTATGGTTTTTTTCCATAATAAGTACAGGAAGAACGTAATAATAAGTGATGCTATACATCTCTTGCCTTATTTCTTAATGGATCTAGGCCAGTTCCGCATAAGAAATGGCCACATGGATCCACAGAAAACTGTAATCGTAGTATTAGACTGAAGAAGCTAAATCAGGATTCGTAACATGATGACAGTAGTTTTATTTCTTTACAAAAGTCTGAAAAATCCTCATAACACGATGCTAGTTTTATTCATCAAAATACATAGGACTAACAAGCTCGCTTACTAATACCTACTGATCAAAACAAAATCATCATCGTCGAGAACACGAGCCTCTTTGTGTCCCACAAAGTTTCCCCGTCCAATAGCTTCAACAATCCGGACAAACTCAATCCTCTTCTCAAGAGGAAGAGGAACATACGGCAATCTGAAAACAGGCCTTGCCACCCCAAGCTGAGCCAGAGCAGTGTTGAGTGCGATGGGATTCGGCTGGCAGAATAACCATTTCATCAGAGGCAACAGCTTCTCATTTAGCAAAGCATTCTCCCCTTCATACATGAGACTACGCATCAGACCAGGGACAAGGTTGCTTGCTACAGAAATAACTCCAGTGGCACCATATTTCCACCTAGAATCATGGCATTCATCATCATTACCACTCCATATTGTTATACCTTGTCAGTGTAGCACTTGACCCTCTCATGTCCGACACATTCTTTCACTCCTGCCAGGTTTGAATATCCTGAAAGTGCCTCAATAACTTGGGGAGGAATATCCTGGCCACTCCTGGATGGCACATTGTAAATGATAGTTGGACCCATCGGCAGAACAGCCTCAAAATGAGAGATCAATCCTTCAGTTGAGGTCTTCCCATAGTAAGGATTGATGTGGAGAGCTGCATGCATGCCAACAGCAAATCCCTGCTCTGTTGCGTGAACAGCCTCTCTGGTAGAATTACTTCCTGTGTTGCCTATCACTTTAATTCTAGTGCCAAAGCAGTTAACAGTGTGCCCAATAAGCATAATGTGTTCATCCCAGCTCATTAGGTGACCCTCTCCTGTTGTTCCACCAACTATTACACCTTCAGAACCACCCTCTATCTGCATGTTTATCAAAGAATCATATGATTCAAGATCGAATCTTCCATCTGGCAAATAAGGGGTTTTCACTGCAGTGATTAGTCTGAGACTTGTGATATCACCAGTTGATGTCCTGCACCATAGAATCAAAGATAGAGGAAATACCTCAGGAAGTAGATAACAAGTATCATAGCCATGTGACAGTTAAGCTATACTCCCTCTGTTCCAAAGTGTAAGTTGTTTTGCCTTCTCTAGATACATGATTTTTGCTATGCACCTAGATATATATTATGTCCAGAATTCTTGATATATAGTAAAAACTATGTATCTAGAACAGGTAAAACGACTTACAATTTGAAATGTAGGGAGTAACATCAAACTGAATTGCAGTCACCAGAGGTTGTATGATCCCACTTTGCTCCAATCCGTAAACAAGTGAACTCAGATTACAATAGAAGCACCACATTATCGAGCATATAGATGTTATGATATATTGAGTTCGCACTTAGCATTTTGGCTAGACTCTTCCTGTTAGAAGTTGCCAACTTGCAGAGACAAGGGGTGACACGCCATAATCAGGTTAATTTTGCAGGATTGGCTTCATGAAAAACAAGAACATTTTCTGCTTCTCAATTAAGTAAATGTTTCTCCTTCACTAAGTATGTCTGCATTATGTAAGATCAAAATGGGAAATCGCATGACTTTGAAGTCTCATTGAAATAAGAACTATACCTATCTTGAAGATAAAAAAACTCAATGAATCAATTGCAAAACAGCAAAAGAGGTCTTTATATCATGGTATGGATAAGCTGACTTCATGTTCCAATTGGCAAATGGTGCTGTTGATGAATTACTTTTTTATGATAAAGGTTTCTACAATATAAGTTCAGAATAGAAGGGCAAACATAGCCATAGAACATCTAGTACAGACTGAATTTATTATTTTAAAATTGATATACATAGCAACTTTTACTCATAATAATAGTTAACAGCACACCCAGTGGTATCGAGCTAAAAGTGCTAGAAAGTATGATTCAGATAAATTTATTAATTAAGGAACAAAAAAATGCCAGCACTCGCTTTGAATTAAACAAGTTACCGATTTTTCACTTCAGTGCTTCGCATTGGAAGATAGTCATCTAGACTGGTTGCTGCCACTGGAAACTTCTCTCTGCCAGTCCTGCTCCTGCACATGTTAGATTGTTGTGTTGGAAGTACAGACAATGTATGCAGAATAAGTTATCTAGACACTCAAGGCCAATCTTTCAAAAACAAAACAAAACAAAGAAGGTTATTATATCTTCAGTAGTACAGAGAGACCAAAGAAGAGATCAAGGCAAGTTGTGCACTCCCTTTGGTTGCAAAAACCATCAAACCGCTTAAACTTTTACTACAATGATATTTAAATAATTACACAGGAAACATGAAAAGATATCGACTTCTGAATGTAATGCTTAATATTGCAATTTAATGGATTTTTGGAAAATTTGTTATCAAAGTTCAAAGTTGTGTTTGGAGACAATGCTGTATAAGTCCAGAATAACTGTATTTGTGACAAGAGGGTATAAATTGCCGTTTAACGCACAAGAACTATGTCCACAAAGAAAAACATCATCCAGAATTAAAAAAAATGACCTGCTAGGACTGGTAAAGTCTTCTAGTAAACAGGTTGCCGTTCTAGCACTGCCTGCAGCTCATTAATCTTAATTGGGTGTCCATGGTTCATTTCATATGATACAATACCGCCTTTTCTTTTTTCCTACAGAAGTTTTCCCCATCAGACATCATTCCATATGTTTGTTCCTAACTGAAGTAACATCTCATTCGCATTGTTTATAGAGCACACAAGGCAATGGTTCGCACGATCCAAGGCAATAATTGCTCATCCTTGGTCTCCAATTCACCACCATCCAAATCCTGCTAAGTGGCATCTGATGATCTACGTTCTGTGAAGCTAATGTATATTGTGTACATCAATGGGGGAAATTGTGGATTATAAACAAACAAACCGACAGATTTTTTTTAGGGAAAATTGGTTTCATAGCATCAAAAGATCATGACATTCGGAAAATACCATCGAAAAACATCTGTTATATAAAATACCACCGAAAGAATGGATTGTTACCTTTAAATAGCATTCTGTCACGGTGGCCACTTTTGCCATGAATTCCTCCGTTGAGGCACATTTGTTCCCCCATTTCAGACAAACAGAGCACACACGCCGGCGTACGGGCACAGCTCGATTCGCCCTGGAGAGGGCACAGCGGCCGTGACTGACTAGCCGGCGGCCTTCGCGGTGGCCGGCCGCACCTATCGATGTCAGTGGCGTGGCCTGATATGGCTCATATGAGCATGGCCCCGTGCCCGCGCGGCATGCAACACGGGAGACGGCGGCGGCATGCAGCAATAGCGAACCCGGCGACAACAAGGTTGGCGTGGGTACACGTCAGGTGCGTGGGGATGCTAGAGGGGCTGTTCTGGGCATGGCTTGTGCGGGGTTGAGTAAGAGCGATGGGGTGGCTCACCATACGGAAAAAACAAATGTCTACGGTCGGCGTCGAGCAGGACGGAGGCGGCCCGTGAAGCAGGGCTGCCGGCGGAGTTTCGGACGAAGGAGGTGCACGCGGTGGTGGTGGATGCGGCAGTGTAGCTGGCTTGGTGGAGGCGCCTTCGATTGGAACTGTCCGCGGGAGTTCCCCACGCGGCGGCCATGGCGAGCAGTAGGAACAACGCACCTGGTGGCGGCAGGATCCAATGTCCCAGAGCGAATTTGCCCAGTTTAGGTGAGACGCGGTCGGAAGAAGTTCGGACGGACGTGGTTGTGGCAGAACCGTCCGAAATAACACACCTTCGGAGCCGCTTGTCTTCCACTAGACACTAAACACCCCGAAAGTAAGCTACATCAGGCGGTTTCATCGAGCACACCCCAAGGGGGAACTCGAACAATCCACATTTTTCATCCAGAATCCAATAATGAGAACGAGTTTACAATACTTAGTCCATTTCATACAACAAAAGTTCTCGGAAATACATTATTACAGTACCAAGTTCAGAGTACGGAATTTAAACAGCGGAATTGAAATAAACATCTAACGATAAGATACAAGGATCCGTCTGTGCCCACCAGAAGAATCCTCCACACAACGGTCACTCCTCAAGCTGCACCTACAACAGGGGTAAATAAAACCTGAGTACACGATGTACTCGTAAGACTTACCCGACTAGTGGGAATAATTTTCCGACTCCAAAGGATATGATAAGCTTTATGATTTGCTGGGTTTCTTTTTTGCGAAAAGCATTACTAGTAGTGAATCCTTGTGTATGTGTTTTATTAGCAGTCATTATTAGTTCATTAGCTAACCATTCTATGTAAGCACCTGTTCTACTTTCAAGCAAGAGTTGAGCAATCAGATCCATTCATCCTCTTTCATCTTCTAGTTCTTACTACGGTGCTAGACCATAGTCAAGTCGTACCGTATCACACGGCGATTCGTGAACCAATGTATCACAGCTGGGTACCCCGAAACACATGCCCCGCTTGTACCCCAGGCACAAGCAAGACCAACCCACCACTCTCCTGTCAAGAGGTCCAGGTCCCCATCCAAACTTGGACTCCAAGCCCCCACACTTGAGACTCGATCTCAGTATGGTGCTTAGACCTCCACATTTCCCCGCCTCCAATCAGTCGATCCGGGAAGAGCCGGAACCCACGACAAGAGCGTAACAAGCCTTCCTGCTCCTATAAGCAAGTATGTGCTCAGAATAATAAGTCTGTGACCTAACTACCATCCACAGCAACGGACGGTCCTTAACCGACAAGGATAGGGAAAACAGTGTAACCAAGCTATGCCCCGTTGGCCGCAGGACACAACCTATTAGACCCACCAATACTCGTACCATATCCCTGTCCGGTCTTTATTTCCTTTCACCATTTTATCATGAGAGTAATAATAATAATCATCTATTGTAAGTAACGGTAGATTACTCACGCTATCGATAGCCTAAGCATAGCAGCTACTCGACCTATGCTAGTATGACTCATAAGTAGGTTTATCTATGCATGTAGTTTCAATATAAATTCTGTAACGTAAATGCACAAAATATATATATATATATCCAGTGATTATTCAAATTAAGAGTTATGCACCGGGGCTTGCCTTGGGCAAGCGGATTGTCAGCTATGACAGTCGTCGGTGGCTATGGGGCTTCCTCCTGTACGAGAACCTCCTCCTCGTACTTCTCGATCACCTTCTCGTATTCCTGCTCTCCGGCGGTCATGAACTCCACCAACTCGTTCTCTACATGCATGCGATGATGCAACACTTAGTATTTTGGCAACAACAACTCTTAAAATAAGAATACACATGCTAAGCTACTAAGCTAGCTCTAATGACTAAGATACTAAGCTAATCATTATCTCTATCAAATACATTTCAAGCTCACCCTACAAGTGCTTAACTTTTACAAACCAATATCATGCCATTATTCCTTTAGCCTTAATGGGTATTTAGATACCATATTAATTAGTCTATTCTAGGGCTACAAAAATTACAGTGAGCACATAATAATACAATGAAGCTACTATAAAATTTCAGGGTTTTTGCTTTCACCAATCTATCACAAAAATTCCTATAATTATTAATCGAAATAATACTAAGTATCTCAACTATTTTAATGCTCCTTAGCAACCACATAGATATGTATGAACTAACTATACTAACAGGTAGATAATGTTTTTGGGAACCTAACAAAATTAGTTTCATAATTTTTGGATATCTACATTATTTTATATTAATTACCAAAGTTTAGCTCAGAATTAAAATAAAAAGCTATTTCTATTTTCCACGAAAAAAATAAAACCGATTTTGGCCCAATGTGGCCCACGCGGGGCGAGGCCCACGCGCGGAGGTGACCCGCGGTGGGGAGCCCCTGCACGTGCTGGCACTCTTGCAAAAATGCCCTCGCGTTATCAGACAATAGCACGAACACTACACGTTCTATTTCTATAGATAACGACTTTACAACGG